ACTTGTTTCTACTAGCGTCCTTGTTACTACTAGTAAGGCACTTGTTACTAGTAGCGTGGCACTTGTTTCTACTAGCGTCCTTGTTACTACTAGTAAGGCACTTGTTACTAGTAGCGATGCACTTGTTTCTACTAGCGTCCTTGTTACTACTAGTAAGGCACTTGTTACTAGTAGCGATGCACTTGTTTCTACTAGCGTCCTTCTTAAAGTATATGAGAAATTCTCCACAAGTCAGTCTTCCTCCAAAACAGACATGGGAACTGTTTGAGACATCCCACTAGGTTTGGTGAGTGTCTCCAAGGTGCGTATCCAAGTAACTCAATACATTTGATGTTTTGACCGATGTTGATTGATTTTGCCCCTTGCTCATATCTGTCTTCGAAACTTTGTTCTCCAAAAGTGGCGGATGGACCAGGGGCAACAGCACAATTGCAAGGAACTGTGGACACCTCAAATCTCATCAAATCCCACGAAATGTATCTTAAAACATCCAAATCTCCATATCTCAAACATTATCACGTCTTTCTTTATGCCATGCACAATTTGAAGACCATGCAGCAATGCATGCCATCAAGAGCCGGAGAGATCAAGGCAAGTCCTGGGAGGAGACTAGGCCCGCGAAACATAGAAACATAAACAATTGGAGATCTCACAGTAAAGTCACCCTTCCAATCTGCTCCAAAGACTCAAGCAAGCATCTAGGAAGCTACTAGGGGCTCCTGGCATCGCTACTAGGAGCAGGAAGCTACTAGGAACAAAGGGCATCGCTACTAGGAACAAGCACACTACTAGGGACTCCTGGGAATCTCAGTGAGTTACACTTTACATTCATCAGGAGGCATGCAAGGCAAGCAATGTGCACGGCAGTCGCAATTCAACAGTGTTTGTGCTTTTCAAACACCTTACATAAAAAGCTATATGGCGAAGTATGGCTGTTGGAACAGAATCCCTGCCGGTCGCACCTGGTTCCTGAGGGCCAGGTGACTGGTTTGTGGACTCGATCCTTTTCACACTTCGACCGATGGGGGGTCGAGACGGTGCTGTCGTGAGATCTCCCTCCGGCCGCAGAAAAAGCCTCCGGACGGTCCAACCGATGCAAGTAGCAAGTCAAAGAGATCGGGTGCACGCAACCCTGGCACTGATGGCACTCATTCCACTGGTATTTACCATAATGCCCAACACAGTTTGGCAAATCAACTTATGCTCATCCTGAGTTGTTTGGCAATCATGCGGACATGCAAAAAGGAAGACATCCGACAAAGAAATGCAGAAATCTAGCAAAGGCTGGCAGTGAACCAAATACACAACCTGTCTTTCGACCACTGATGATGGCAGATCACGGAACATCACGGATTACTTCCCAGCCTAAGCGCAAACGTGTGTTTCGGAGGGTGTTTGTGCGGTTCAACGTTCAACCTCCACCCCGAAAACACCGAAGGATAAGGGAAAAATGGATGAAAAAGGGAACCAGTCAAACAAGCAAGACGAGCAACCAAAACAATACAAACTGCTATACTATGTTTCTTGCTGCTGTACATGGTTCTCCATTAGAAAAAGAAAGAACCTTTAAGTGTGAGTTCTTCTTTTGATTTCACCACTGGCAACCGGTGCTTCAGGGCTTCGGCACGTCACCACGATCTCCGACCAACTCCAGCGGCTGCTGGCAATCGTTGTCCGTCCTTTTCGGACTGAAGGCGGCACGCCAAGGTGAGAGCGATGGCCAACCTCTCCAACCTCTCCAACCAGACCTTTCTTACTTTCCTTTTTGCTTTGTTTCTACTAGCGATCCAGTGTTTGACTCAGCTTTGACTCCTAGAAACGGGCTTTCCCACCTGTTTAGATCAGCTCTTCAAGCATTCGGATTCAATAGACCAGGTCTAAGCATGCTTGCTGTCACACCAGGACCCCTGCAGTGACAGTTTTCCTTGCCCTTGCAAAGTGTTCACCTTGGAGGGTGCTAGGATCTACCTGCTCACTCTCCGATTTTGGAGGAAAAGTACACAACGTAGATGTTATATGCGAAGTACATGTCATGCACAAATAGTCTTAAACAACGTGTGCAGTGTAGCAGTCAAATGTGTTTGGCATTCTGAGAGATGTAATGCTCTGCACCTCTACTCTGGGTTGTGTGCAATGCCTTTCGATATCTGGGGGTCAGGAATCAAGCGACCAATGGCCATCATATCACATAGATCCCGACTAGCCCCATGAAATTTCATGAACCGTCAACAACTATAGTTCGTCTACTGACCAACCCTGATGTCACTCCTGACCTTGGCCCGGCTGCCAACAATCAGGGCAAGGACAACACATGCACACGAATTCCTGCCGCGGAAAGACTCCTGGGTACTTCCAAAACACCAGCATTGCTCTGTAAGAAACATGTCACCCATTTAGGGATTGGACATTTCGCCCCGTTCCTGCTACAAGCAAGGACGCTACTAGGGGCTCCTGGCCTTGCTACTAGGAGCAAGGACGCTACTAGGGGCTCCTGGCATCGCTACTAGGAACAAGGACGCTACTAGGGGCTCATGGCCTTGCTACAGGAACAAGGACGCTACTAGGGGCTCCTGGCCTTGCTACTAGGGGCAAGGGCGCTACTAGGGGCTCCTGGCCTTGCTACTAGGGGCAAGGACACTACTAGGAGCTCCTGGCATCGCTACTGGGAACGAGAAGCTACTCACTAAGAGAGGACTCACGGCAAGTTGGCCCTCAAGGTGATAGCTATAGATGGCCACCAAGCTAATAGCAATGGCCTCACTCACTCGAGCAACACAGCATGAGATCTAGGGATCTGTGGATCTAGCGGAACATGACTGAAAGCCATCTGGTCATCTTTATGGGCATCTGGGATATCATATAGATGATGTCTTCTCTATCAGAAGCCAGGAGATATCAGGATGCCTGCCCAAACATATTGGAAGTTTCTACTGATGCTGTGCAGAAGACACCCAGGATACGGAGGAAGTTCTGGTCTCCGGCCAATTCGCAAAATCCTACGCTCGATGCGACCCAGAGCAGATGGGATGTCTCATCCTGTGCAGGTGTCTCCATCAACTTGCGTTCGTCGACTGAGAGCGGCTCTCAACTGGAGGGGTGTGCAGGGATCCCCATGTGACAGAACACCACGTCCCTCTTTTTGTGAACAGCAGCATCACTCCGACTGTCACCCACGGTTCGTGCTGCAGCGGCATCAACCTATAGGGACCCACATGTACAGCGAAACTTGTATCTATTTCCTTCGGTGGTGAAGCTAGAACATTACAAATTCTCCGTTCCAGGATAGGACAAGTCGTCTTGTCAACCATGGTCACCACACCTGGTAATGATACTATGACAATATCGAATTGATACTCGAAGCGATCCCTCCCATCCACAAAAAGTTAGCCTTGCGAGGGCAAGGAGTGCCGGCGAGGCAGAGTGAAGAACGTCCATCGACGCCTTCAACTCTATAACAGTGACTTGAAGTTGCTAGTAGGTTGGAGGCCATCGCTTCTATGTTGGAGGCCATTGCTGTAGGTTGAAGTTGCTTCGTTGTCCAAACCCTTATTGCTTTGGCTGTAGACTCTAAAGCTGATCTTTCAATAGAAAAAGCTTCCATGAGTAGGGCGAGAAGACTGTTTATCTTGTTTTTTGTCCTACCTGGACTGCAACCGTACAGACTCTCTCTCCCGAAGCCACCGGGGAGGCCGTCATGTCTTCCTCGTTGGGGCACCATGTGTGAGCTGCAAAGGACATCTGGAATTTTACCCAGTTTTTGTCGACTCCGAATCCCTTTGTTACTAGTAGCGTCCTTCCTAGTAGCGATGCCCTTTTTTACTAGTAGCTTCTTGTTACTACTAGTAAGGCACTTGTTACTAGTAGCGATGCACTTGTTCCTAGTAGCTTCTTGTTCCCGCTGATTCCAAGTTGTTTTGGGAAAGCATGCTGATCCGGCACCTTGACCAGCACACATCTGATTCCGAACAGCTCCCGGTGTGAGAAACGTTCGATGCACATGTCACATGATCCCAGTTTCTGCAGGGATTGCCTTTGGGAGTCACCAGTCCTTCCGTTTCATTGTCTTCTTTTACTCCAATTGGCGCCTCAAAACTAGGTACCCGGAAACCCAGTAACCCGAGATGGCTTTTTGTGATTCTGGTCAGCAGGAGGAAGAATACCAACCTAGCAACTTCACAGAAGAGCTTCGGCAGCCTGAGAATCAGGTGATTAGCTTGTGAAGGTGGGCAACCTCTGCCTCTCCTGCCGCGTCATGACGACAGAGGGTCTGGCTGATCGCAGGAATCTGAGCAGTGTCTGGCACAGTCACAGGTGTCTAGGTATTTGAAACAGCAAAGAAACTCAATCGGGTGACTGATCTGACTGGATCTCGTGGCATTTAAATAAATGAGTGTAGTTAGTCCAGGACTTCTGATACACGTCGCCCGCACGTGCATCGCGACCCCCACCTGACGATCTCAGGTGGCCCAAAACTGCCAGACGGAGGCCTGTCCACTGCGAAGCAGAAGCTGCTTAAGCAGCAGCGCGGTGGGGAATGGCTTCCAAAATTCAAAAGAGATTCACGTAGGTTGGAGGGAGGCCATTGCTAGTAGGTTGGAGGCCATCGCTAGTAGCGATGATGCTGGAGCTGCTGGAAACCAAAACATCCCTGGTCTGCACTCTGCACTTCGGTGTGACATTAAAATCGTGGGACCCCAAAGGCTTGGCTTCTGGAGGACGTTTGGCTAACACAAATGTCCTGTTACAAATCCACATGTTGCCCGGCCACGTTGAAGCAGGGAGAATATCCGAAGAAGCACATGATTTTGGAACAGTGTTTAAGGCAAAACTCAACCCCTTTCCATCGCCCGGATTGCACCCAGCCTGCCTGTTTAACAGCCAACTCACGTCTCATCCACGCTCCGCACGCCGTGGCCTGATGCGGAATCTGATCTGGTGCTAGAAGGAACATCCTCCAACACGCCACAAAATGATGGTCATTGGGAGTTTCGAGGTGTTGCATGAGGTACTGCATGAAAGGAAAAAGATGTGAAAGCTCTCTTTCTAACCCTTCCAAGGGTCCCGCCTCTTTAGAAGCCCCATCCCGAACATCCACGGCTCATTGCAAGTAAACAGGCCAAGGTGGACAAGAAAAGAATTGTGAATCAAATAAATTTTCCTCTCAAGAGGCTCTCAAATCTCGCTTCGCTGCTTTGCGGCTTCTTCATTGGATCTCACCCGGACTTCCCGGGCTCAGCTCTTTCAAAGGAGCACAATAGTTGAATGCAAAATTGAAGGATTTGAAGGCCATCGCTAGAAGGTTGGAGGCCATCGCTACATTAATTCGGTTGGAGGCCATCCCTATCAAGTTGGAGGCCATTGCTATTGTAGGCGTGAGGCCATCGCTATATTAGATTGGAGGCCATCCCTATACTAGGTTGGAGTCCATCGCTAAATTAGGTTGAAGCCATCGCTATATGAATTTGGTTGGAGGCCATCTCTATTTTCGGTTGGAGGCCATTGCTATTGTAGGTTGGAGGCCATCGCTATATTAATTGGGTTGGAGGCCATCGCTAAATTAGGTTGGAGGCAATCACTATATTGTGGAGGCCATACTAGGTTGGAGACCATCGCTATATTAAGTTGAAGGCCATCGCAATTATAGGTTGGAGGCCATCGCTAGTCGTGCAGGCATTCGGAACTCGTTCCATCTCTCAAGTGGTGCACCTGCTGACTGGCCCAACAGCTGCCGGAGTGGCACAGTCACCTGTGGGCTCGAGCGATGGGCCGACAGCAGGCCACCGGGTCTACCGGGACCATCTCCAGCCAGGTCATTGAAGTACCGGTGCTACCATAATCCAAGTGAGGATCTTCTCTTGGAGAATAGTCCTTGGACATCCTTGGACTGCATATCTTCCACCAGCTATCTTGCTTTGCTTTCTTTCTGAGATGCCAAAAGGGCCCTTGGTGGTGTCCATTACTCCAAGAAATTCTTGCTGAACGTACATGGCAAGAGGTGGAGCAATGCAGCAATGAGAAACACCCCAAAAGCAATTCACATCGTCCAACGCTCCTATGAAGAACCGACTCTTGCGAAGAGTTTGCCAAAAAAAGAGTTTGTTTCCATGTCCGATGTGTTTTCAAACCTAGAAAGAAACAACACTTCAACTCACCTCTCCCTCCTCACATGTGTCCACCTTCCCTTTGCCGAACTTAGTAAATGGCACCATCCCAACCCTGAATTATCCGCGGGCATCCGCCGGCCGCAGAGGTGGGCATTCGGTGTGTAGCCTCGTTGGAGGCGAGCACGCTGAATGTGCTTCAAAGTACCAAGCTTCTTCGTCGCTCTCGAGCGGAGCTCCTGCATCTCCTGGGGCCGTGAAGAGGGGTCCTGTTGAATTCTGTCCAACCACACCAGCACCTGGGCACCCAGTGGGCACATGGTGCAGGTTTGAGCCACCTGCCTTGGACAATGGCTTTGGCTTAAACTGAAATGACATGAGGGGGACAGTGGCGAACCTTAATTAAGCTTGATCAAGGGCGAACCCCTGGTAGGGCGGCCTCCTTCAAACGCGGATGCAACCACGGTACCGAACGGTGGTAGGGCAGATGCAAAAAGCGATGTTGAAATCAAATCATCAAAACCAGCACACCGAATCAACGCACAAATTGGAATGCCGAAACCTTCAGGGCAAAACGCTGCCGAACACATCTTTGCTGTGCCTCGAACGCGATGTGCGGCCATCATGGCCCACTCGATCCGTCCTGTTTAGCACCGGCACTGCCTTGGCTCACCAGGCACAGCAGCTCCAGCGCGCGAGAAAGACCTCAAGAGGCTGGGAGAAAATGGGTTTGATCATGTTTGATCCATTCGATCTCTGGGTTTGTCCAGGCCCCGAGGTTGTTTTCCAAAAGGTTCGAGAAATCATTGAAACCGTTTTATTAAAAGAAAAAACAGTAATACAACATAACATGATTATCTGCATGGTTTGCGGTGTTGGATTTGACCGGCTGGGGGGTAAAACAACATGTACGTTGGTCATGCTTCCTGTTTGTATCCAGCTGGATGATCCACACTAGTGTGTCCACACTGTTTGGGGAAAAAGATGGAAAAAGTCAATCTTAGCCAAGTCCCCACACTCTTTTTTACACGCAGTTATGAATAGGTTACGCCATGCTATGCCTCAATCTTAGCTTTACACTTGCCTGCAGGTAGTTATAGTCGGTGGATTCATCGGGCTTTCCTCACCTTCAAGTTTCCTTTCGTTTGCATCGGCTTCTTGTCTTTGGGCTCGGATAGAGCTTGAGTCGTGATGCGGCCCGGATTTGACTTGAGATGTTTTCCACAGAAGTGCACGCTGTGTGAACCTCGAAGTGCAGATTTCGCTGCAGGCGCAGCACCTCAAAATTAAGACTTCGTGGCAGGCGTAGCACTTGGTGAATCTCGAAGGCAGCTTCTGCACTTTGTGGGCCACGAAGCGTAAATATGAGCTTGCCACAGTAGCAGCGAAAACAGAGGTAAGGCTTCTTAGTTAGTCCTTGTGGGTAGGACCACACAGTTTCGAAGAAATATCATTATATAAATATCTGAAGTGTCATGCAAACGTAGGTCTTCAGAAATTTGATTCACAACTATTTGGAAAGAGCTGGAAGATTACCGCGTGTGCATTCGGCAACGACATCGATCCCGGTTCATCCCTGCCCTGCAGTAGATGAGGAGGGTCATGTTCAAGTGATTCTTCTCTGGTGGCAAACCCCAAGATAAAGGCCCCTTTTGGAATTTCCTCGAGCTTGAGCTGCTAGTGGTCAGGTCTCTGAGCTCTCTGTTGAACAGTAGCTCTTGGCCTCATTAGTCGAAAACTGCATTATCTGTTGGTGTAGAATTAACATTTCAAGGGACCTAATATCTGAAATCCGAACAGCTTGAGGTTCCAGAAATGCAATGTGCTCAGGATTGCTCAAGCCATTAGGTTGGAGGCCATTGCTCTTAGGTTGGAGGCCATCGCTATTAGTAAAGCAGCAAGGACGCTACTAGGGGCTCCTGGCCTTACTACTAGAAACAAGAAGCTACTTGGGTCTCCTGGCCTCACTACTAGGAGCAAGGACACTACTAGGGGCTCCTGGCCTTACTACTAGGAGCAAGGACGCTAGTAGGTTGGAGGCCATCGCTATGTGTGCATCTGGACTCGGCCGGATTTCACCGAGAAGCGAAGAGGACTCAACTTGCACTTCTTCACGTGTTGATCTAAAGCCTGGCACGGCCGCTTTGTTCACGAGTTCACGTGAAGCAAACATTCAGCCTCGGAAACATGTCTCTTATGCAGGAGGTTGGTAGAAGCAAAGCAAAAGAATGGCAACGCATGTCTTGAGCCATCTCCAAACCCTCCCAGCATCGAAAATTTCAACCCACACCTGGATCTCCTGCTCGTTCAAAGGCTTTCCTCGAACTTCAAAGTTGAAGCTACCTCAGCTATCAAGCAGGGCGTAAACCTGGGTAAACACTTAGGACGAGGATATGAGGGTCCAAAAGACGATCTCATGCAATCCAGGCCAGGAGCCCCTAGTCGCGATGCCCTTGCTCCTAGTAGTAAGGCCAGGGTACTGAGGAGGTGAAGCAGTAGGAATTGTCCATCAAAAAACTGGTGGCCTTGGCCTCGTGCGGCGCGGCACGGTGCGCTTGGTCGAACAACGGTGACTCGCGCATGCGCAGGAGCACGCGTTCCTGATGCGGGTCCTCAACAGGGTAACCAATGGAACTGGAATTGAGCATAACTGTTGGGCTGGCCCAAAGTCCTCCCCTTATGCGGCCTAAAGATGGATTCCACCGGAGTACAGAAACTATTGCAGCTGCCAAAGGCAATTGAATCTTTCCCTTCCATCTATGGATTGAGATTCAACTGGACCTTCCGATTTGTAGCGCAGTTTTCTGGCAAGCGACAAAATGTTCTTAATGAAATGAACAATCTTGAAGCAAGGGTAATAAGCACGCTCTTTGGGCCCAGTGGTGTCCTTTTGGGAAGAATAGATGGGTCGCTTTGGTACCATTTACCTATTGGTTGTACATGAGGGTATCCTCTCTATTAATCGACCAACTAACAATAAAAGGCCACCTGCTAGTAATTTCCTTTGCTAGTAGATTCCTTTGCTAGTAATTACAATTCTAATTCTTCTTGTTACTACTAGTAAGGCACTTGTTTCTAGTAGCGTGGCACTTGTTACTAGTAGCTTCCTAGAAGGGTGTTTCACCCTCTCTTTTACCTGTCTCCGAAGCTTCCGAGAATCTGTCGGCTCGTATTCACCGCCTGCCTCGGCCCAGCTGGAGCTTGAACGGCGGATACCTCAGACCGAAGATCACCGAAGCCATGCAAGGTCTCTAGATGAAGATCTCAGTTGAACTGTAAGTTGACTGGACTCTAGAATCTAGAAGAAAAGAGTACTGTATTCACTCTTGTGGGTATTCACTGTCAGAATCTGTCAGACCTTGCAGGAGAGTTGCGCGAAGGGATGCCCCTAGTAGGCGCGCACCTTCTACCACGAACTCTGGACGATCTATATTTACTAGCGTGGCACTTGTTCCTACTAGCGATGCACTTGTTCCTAGTAGCTTCTTGTTACTACTAGTAACAGGTGCCACGCTAGTAGTAACAAGTGCCTTACTTGTAGTAACAAAGAAGCTATTAGAATTAAATTTAAAAAAAGAATTAATAGCAAACATTGTTACTACTAGTAAGGCACTTGTTACTACTAGTAAGGCACCTGTTCCTAGTAGCGTGGCACTTAAGGAGCCTCTCTGCTTCAGGTGTTTTCAAACATACAAATCGAACCTCCAACTTCCGATTGTTTGTCATGGAAACACACACTATTGCCGGCCTACATTCCCCTTTCTTGCTTGCAGTCCGGTTTGACCACAAATCCCTACCCAATTTACCCAATTGGGGTCACAGTGGCAGCACCACTCGCTATAGCAATGGCCACCCTACTAGCGATGGCCTCCAACCGAAGAGCGATGGCCTCCAACCTAATAGCAAACTGTATCAGGCTTTTCTTCTTCTAAAAGCGATGGCCTCCAACCTACTAGCAATGGCCTGAAACCTAAAGGTGATGGCATCCAACCTAAAAGCGATGGCCTCCAACCTAAAGAAGATGGCGTCCAACCTACTAGCGATGGCCTCCAACCTACTAGCGATGGCCTCCAACCTATATAGCCATGGCCCAGCCAAGCTTCGGCAAGTGAGCAATAGGAAAGCCAGACAAGGGGCACAAATCGCCTCAGCCGCGAGTGGGCGAGAGCGTCCGGAGCGAGAAGTGAGGACCGAGCTCGACGGTTGGGGCGAGACGCAGGCGCTTCGGGCGAGACGCAGTTTGTTTCTCCCAATCATAGGCGCAGATTGCATGGTGACATGACCCAAATGCGTTCAACGGCCAATAAGTGATATGACCCACAGCTATCCTGATTCTGAAGTAGTAACAAGTGCATCGCTAGTAGTAACAAGTGCCTTACTAGTCTAAACAAGAAGCTATTAGGAACAAGTGCCACGCTACTAGGAACAAGCGCCTTACTAGTAGTAACAAGAAGCTATTAGGAACAAGTGCCACGCTA